CACATATTCTGTCCACGGTATCCTTAGTATCCTACTGTAGAACCGCATTTCTGTTGCTTCAAATATCCAGCATTTACTACCATATAGGAGAAATGGTATCACGTAACAGTTTAGTACTCTTTTTTGTTTCTTAATACTCTACTTAGCTTTTCTAAGGCAACTTTTGTCGTGCCAATGGACATTCGGATTTCAGGATCAGCTTTTCCATAATCTGTTAAAACATTTCCCAGGTATTTAAATATTTGTAAATGTTTGATTTTGGTATTTCCAATTTGTCATTTGCTTCTTGAGCTTATCGTTTTGGCAACAAACTTACTTTCTGTGTTCTTGCAGTTGATGCTTAGTCCGTTCTTCATGCTTTTTTTTTTTCATTACTTTCAATTCAGGCTTTACAAAGAAAAGCGTAATGTTGCTCAGACGGAAAAGAGGAATCTGATTTTCCAAAAATAATAATCAATAATTAGGTAGATAAAAAATGTTTTTTTCGACACCGACGTTGACTTGTAAAAGTGCTATTGTATTAAAAGAAGAATAAAATATAAAAGAACAATATATAAATTTTGCAGAAAGATTTTTCTGCTCTAGAGTGCAAAGGTTAATAAGATTATAGATAACTTCATTTACAGACAGATTTAAAAAAAATACTTAATAATTTCTTAAACATACATACATATATATATATATATATGTGTGTGTGTGTGTGTGTGTGTTTTTTATGTGAAACTATATTTTATCATATATCTATATCTATCTATCTATCTATATATATATATATATATATATATATATATATATATATATATATATATGTTTTATATATGTGTTTTACACATATATATATATATATATATATATATATATATATATATATATATATACACACACACACACACATATATATATATATAGAGAGAGAGAAAGAGTGAGAGAGAAAATATGATATTTAGGTAGGAAGAATCACCTGAAAACAGATTGTGCTAAATTAAACTGTTTCAATTTTTTACTGTATTTTTCCAACTTTCAAATAAATTGTTGCACATCTGGATGAAAATTAGGGACGAAATCTCCAGATTTCGTTCTGTTTTTGTTCGAGTATTTTCGGTCTTACTGGTGATGATTAGAAAATCAATGTTGCCATTATCGCAGACAAATGTTTGTTAGCAACATGCTGACATTTTTGTAAAGTTTCCTCCTCATGAATGAATATGATTTCGTGAAACTCCGAGTTGTGGCAGAATATATGAATATTTAAATATGTCACAACTAATCACACACACATTTGCAGTTTCCATGTAACTGTTCATAATAAATATTTATTACTCTACTTTTTGTATTGAGCCCTTTTTTAAAATTAATGTTAAGAACTTTTTAAATTTATGTGCTTTTCGTTCTTTTACATTTGGAGTTACATACATACATACATACATACATATATATATATATATATATATATATATATATATATATATATATATATATATATATATATATAGAGAGAGAGAGAGAGAGAGAGAGAAGGAGGAGGGAGAGTCACAATTGTTTCCTACACTATATGCGAGAAACTTGTAGAATTTTTTAAAATATATTCTTTACATAAAAATTTATCAAATACATTATCATACATAGAAATAAGCTAAACTACAACTTCTATCTAAACAATGGCACACTTATTAAAAGAGAGATTAACTTATTTAAACCGAAGATTATTGAGAGTGCCACTATGGAAACTTACCAAAACATAATTCTGTACCTCGGAATTTTTAAAAATATTTCCTTTCCTAAAATATATTCTTCTTTCCCAAGCCAAAATGCATGACTAGATTTTTTAATTAAAAGAAAAAGATTAAATACAAAAACTTTTGTTATTTAATAAATATGATGTATAAATTAATTTCTCAAACTTAAATAGTGGAATTAATAATTACATTAAAAATGTAACGACACTAAGAAAATTGATTCCCTTTCGTTTATTAGAATTAAATCACTAAGCCTCCTCTATAATTTAAATTGACTTTCAGTTAGCCTGAAGTATTTTATAAGCTTTTTTAAATTTAAAAGTCTAAAAATATAACAGAAATTTACTTCTCTTTATAGATAATTGTTGCAAAATAAATGCCTTACATTTTTTTTCTTGATAAAATCCGTCACTGAAAAAAACGCGTCGGCTAAGAAAAGTTATCCTTTGTCTTTATTCATATATATATATATATATATATATATATGTTGCAGTTTTTTATATATATATATATATATATATATATATATATATATATATATATATATATGTAACTAGTGAGCGAGTCAAAATGACTTGACTCACTTTTATAGTCCACCAATAGAAGGTTTTGGTATGAATGTGAGTCCTTAGTTTCGGGGTATAAATGTAAATAGTCCTACTTTTAGCCAAATCCTCTTCTAATGACCCTCAGGATCACTATGACCCGGAGTGATAGGGACTGTTTTAATGGGTCCCAGCTATGGGTAAAGTAACAATTCTTTCCACCTTTTTTGTTGTGATCACAACCCAAACTTATAATATTATTGCTAATGTTTATTAACCTGAATACTTAAATGTGGACAAAATGATACGACTAATTTTTGTGGATATTAATTTTCTTTAAAAAGAAAAAAAAA